ATGTTCATTTTCGTTAAGTTTAAAACATTAATCTAGGATTCGCACTAAAGTTTGTATTGAAAACTTAAAATTGTCTCATCATTAAAATTACGCCTATAAAATGTACTATTACTATATTGTTTATCTTTAAAATTTAGTTTTAAAAACACACTTCTATGGTCTGAAATATTATTATCCAACACTATAGTGTATACACAAAGACATTCACTAGTAAAATTTATAAAACATGATCAATCAATGTACAAGAATGGACCGTAACTCTGGTGAGCCATTTTACAACTGGCAAAAAATTAAAAACTGATAAATTAACACATAACGTTTCATAATTTACATTTAAAAAGGCATTCAAATTAGTGTCTCCACAAAGAATAAAATTTTTATTAGGCTCATAAAGAGAACTTAAAACATTATTTAACTGTTCAAAAAATATATTTAGATCTCCATTTAAAGATCTATAGCAATTTAAAATTATGTAGGTAACAAAATCTATTTTAAAACAACACATTTCAAAGAGTTGCTCAATACAGTAATTTAAAACATCTATCTTTTTAAAGTCTTGATCATCACGAGTCCATATTCCAACTCCACCACATTTAAGAAGAGGTCTACAGTAGTAACTACAAAGTTTAAATTTATCAATATGCATGGAATTTATCTTATCTGACTTTACCCCTATTTCTACAAGACACAAAAATTTTAAATTAGTGTTATCATTTAATTCTACCTCTAAGGAATTAATTTTATCTGAACTTGTATTCACATTTAATAATAAGATATCAGGATTTTCCGGTCTCTTGCGAATTTGAAAAAACCGAATTACACAGGCACCAAACGGCCATACCTGTGGATCCATAGCGTTTTGGAAATTATCCTCATATATAACAACTTTAAAGGAAGAATGGAGTTCTGGATATTTACCTGTCATACTTTCACACTTTACTTCTGGTAAATGCGGCCGTAGCATCGACAAAGATCTTCCTTTTCGTATTCGGATCAATCCTATAGACGTGAAGTGAAGCTAACTTTGGCACACCTTTTATATTAGTGCTTTTAGTGTTATTTCCAAAAAATAACCGGGCGATTGTTTTTCTTTTTATTATTAACCATTTTCCAATCCTCTTCTATTGGTGTTTTTTTATTGGGTTCTAGATGAATATATTTATTTAATGCAATATTTGTTTGTATCTCTAATATAACAGATGATAATTGGTTTTTAGATATATTTTTATTAATAATTTTATTCTCTGTAACCTTGACAGGAAATGTATCATTCGCCTTGGTTTTTGTTACACTTTGTTCTTCTCTATGTTTTTCTGATGATTTAGCCGCGTTCGCGGGTTTATTTATATTTATATTTTCCATTAATTTAATTTGGTTATTTAATAAAATAATTTTATCATAAAGTTCCTTAATAATAGCTATTTTCGCGGAGCTAATCCCGAACTAATTCCGGACATCCTAGGCATGCGCTTTTTAAAATTTGGGGTTCAAAATGTAAAGTGCGCATGACAAATATTAAAATGCGCATGCCTAGGATGTCCGAACAAGTTCGGGATTGGCACCGCGAAAACACCTAATTATATATTTTTGTTGAATTATATAATTAAAAATGCTTATATAAACTTTATTATCGGTAGACATCTCACCAATGGCAGTCAAGAAAGAATTTGTTCTTGGATGATAGACCGAATCTATTTACTACTTACTACTTACCAATACTTTACTTTTACACTTTTTATAGGACGCGTCGGTACATCAGTATCGTTCGCCATCTTTTTTTCTAGTAACTTCGTGGTTCATCGCAAAAATTTGGTATTTTAACTATGGACATAAAAATGGGGTGACCTTTATGAAGTGCAATTTAGAACTTTTTGACATATTTAACATATTCACTTCTGGTTTCATCGAAAGTGCTCTTAAGTAAGTAAAATAAATTATTAATAATTTTAGAGTAAAATTCTTAATATTTTTGCATGTGTTACTTTTAAAAGATGTATACCCAAGTTAATTTTGGGTAAAATAATAAAAATAAAGTATTATATTCCAAAAATAATTATTCAAATGCACAAGCAACTTATAAAAACGCGATTTCGAAGAAATGTAGAACACAAACAATTCTGAAAAACTTTGGTCTATTAACATATATGAGTTCAAATATTTTAAAACTATTAAAAAAAGTTATATCCAACCGCCCATAGTGTGGCCATTGTAGGGAATATCTTGCAATAAATAAAAAAAGGATATATGAAATTAAATAAAAATTTTGTTTTTTCTAAACATAATTAACATGCCCATTAGTTTCTGGACCTCTTAGGCTTAATACTTATTTTCCTTTCTGATAGAGCCTCAGTCAAAAAGAGTTTCGCGACTGCCTCACTCGTGTGTTAACATACCAAAATGTTCCGAATTGTTTCTTCGAAATCGCGTTTTTAATAAGTTTATTGTGCATTCAATTCATTACTTTTAGGTACCTATACTAAAATAATTAATAATAATAATAATAATAATAGGTACTATAATACTTTATTTTTATTATTTTAACCAAAATTAACTTGGGTATACTTTTTACATCCTTTAAAAGTAACACATGCAAAAATGTTAAGAGTTTTACACTAAAGTCCACAAGTGAAAAATATGTTAACATATATATATATATATAATTGAATATGTCAAAAAGTTCTAAATTACACTTTATAAAGGTCAACCCAGTTTCATAAACTCAAAAATAGACGTCTATTTTTGAGTTCATAGGAATATACCAAATTTTTGCGATGAACCACGAAGTTACTAGAAAATGGCATTTTCATTAAAAAAAATAATTTTTCCGAAACGACGAATTTAGCCAACACGGGACTTTTGGTAAAAAGTTTTCCTATTATTAACTTCAAACGAAAAAAATATGAAGTAAAAAAAAATGTGGCAATGTCAAAATTTTGACCTCATTTTTTTTGCTTTTTTTAGAAAAAAAAACAATTAATTTTTTTTTGTGAATTTAAATATTTGTATGTACTAAAGATTTACCTACAATTAAAAAAAAATTTAACGATCGAAACATTTTTGGCCAAGTTATCGCATTTTCAAGAAAAAATGTCACTCGTAAAAAGAGAAAAATCGATGTTTCTGTCCATTTTTCAAAAATTTCCTACGGGTGAACAAACAAATTTAAGCAAAAAGAAAAAATACGGGTCTCATCGATTTCGGTAGAGAAACTGTAAAAAAAATTTCGTTAAAAAATATCGACCTATCCCCTTTTGCCTGATCGATTTGAGATGGAAAGGCCCCCATGTTAATGGTTTAGAACATAGACAAACCTTCCCTTGTTTAGAACCGGGGTCGTCCCATCGGGTTGGATTGGGAATGTATATATTTTATGGAGCCGAATTTTAAGAGGAATATTTATTACAGGCAGAAATACAATAGTCGTTAGACCTTTGAAAATTATCCTATACAGCATTGGCGGCTCGTCAGGGTAGGCCTCTGAGGCCGCGCCTCACCCTTAAAATGAAGGAACGAACGACTTTTTGTATTTAGATTTTTGCCTATTACAAGTGTATTTTTACAACAGTTCTACCCAATAAAAAGTAAAACATACTAAGCGTAAATAAAAATCCAGGCGCAAAGCGCGTCAAGGTAACGTGCATCGTTGAGAGTCGCTAGGACAGAGGCGAAATTTTCACAGCCTCGGAAGCTCCCATTTACCTCTAGAAAGCGAAAATGAATCACCAACAAAAATATCGCCGGAAGTTCGCGAATAAATACCGTAGATTCAGTCGTAGATGAGGCGAAATTTAGTTAGCTAGGCTTGTTCTTATTGGTGGCTTTATCACATGACTGATGATAATCGCTTGTATGTATCTTGGCTTGTGCTGCCCTACTATGAAGAAAGGCAGTAACTGCTAAACAAGAAATTTGTGGAAAATTAGCATAAACTACATTTTTATAAAAAGCAGTAGGTATTTAATGGATTTTTTTAACTTATGAGATATTTGACTGCATTTCTGTGTTGAATTCGGTTACAAAATGTCCATAGCTTTACGCATTTTGCATTTTTTTGCAGTTACTGCCTTTCTCCATAGTAGGGCAGTGTGGGAGTCCGTCTATGGTGGGATGCCAGTGTTCTCTTAGCGTTTGTAGAGCACGTTATTGTTTCGATTCAGATTAAATTATTTAAAACTTTTGGCTGATCTTTTATAGATTTGTCTCGATTAGTAAAATTTCTTATTTAATTATTGTAGGGAACACACTAAGGTAGATTTAGCAGTTTTTATTAAGCAAATTTTATATTTTGAAATAATAGATTGCATAATTCTTCAATTAGAGACGCGGTTTGAAAATTTAGAATTACTTTTAAATCTCACTGCAGACCCACAATTTTACGACCAAATAATAGATAAATTTGCAAACTTAAAAGATAGACGTATAGATTTAATTTACAAAAAGTAGCTATAGTATTTTATATTTTTTAATACTTAGGTAGGGGTCGACTTTTTAGTTTTATTTTTATTTTTTGATTAATTTATTTATTTTTAACTTTTTTAAGAATATATTTTTAAGTTTTAAGATTAAAACTAGTCTTTGATGTGATATTTTGTTTGTTTTGTTTTTTAGAGTTTATTTTTTATTTATAATGGTTTAGTAGGGCTATCGGCGATGACCTCCATTTTAAAAAAGGTCAACGTTCGCAGAATAATACCTCCCGGGTGACGTGGAAATTTATTTGTATTTAGACAAAATTAACCTTATGTAGCCTCACCCTCCTGTACACCCACGAGCCGCCACTGCTATACAGTTTATTTATTAGCAGCAAGAATTATTACAAGCGCGGGGCAAATATTTTCTAGCAAATTTAATATATTTTTATGCAAATTATTATAAAAACACTATACGCCGAAAATGCATAAACACGTTCTTTCTTACTGTGCAATATCTGTACCTTACTGTATTTAAAAGAAAGTAACATGAACATCAAGCTTTCTGACCTGAACATTTGTTTGTTTTAGGACAATACTATCTTAATTCTTCTACTTAGAATGTTGGCATTGGGTCTGAGCGCCTGGGTAATGATAGACTCCCAAGATTTCAAAGAACCCAAACTCGAATCCCAAGTGATCACAAAGTTCCTCCCGGCTTTGATGTCGTTGATGGTCGACGACCAGGTCAGGCAGCTATCGGCCAAACTGCCCCCGGACGAAAGGGAGGCCGCCATCACGGTCATCGAACATTCCGGTCCTCTTCCGGACGCGGTTGAGGCTTACATACAGGATAACGCAGTGGCCAGCATATTGGCCATGTATTATACTTTGCATGTTGCCAAGAGCAAAGATAGGGTTGGGTTGTTGAGAATATTGACTGTTTTAGCCAATTGCAAGGACGATAGGGCATTTGAGGACCCCTTTTTACATTCTATGGTAAGAAATAAACCTAGTATTTTTATAAGTTCTATAAGATATTTTTAATTGGCAAAAATTTTAGACTGAAAATTTGGATAGAAATGGCAATTTATTTCATCCCTGTCTGCTATTCCTTTAGGTATTAACAGAGACAGTGCAGGAACGGTTTAAAACCGTCTTTTTTAGTTATTGTGTGAAAGCAAGTATTTGCAGTCATATTTGCTACGGAATCTCGATCGTTTACGAAATCATAAAAAAACACGTCTGTCTGTCTTCATAAATCATAAAGTGTATACTGGTATAAATCGATGTTTCTGTCCATTTTTCAAAAATTTCCTACGGGTGAACAAACAAATTTAAGCAAAAAGAAAAAATACGGGTCTCATCGATTTCGGTAGAAACTGTAAAAAAAAATTCGTTAAAAAATATCGACCTGCCCCCTTTTGCCTGGTCAGGTGTTATCAGTAACTACTGATAGTTTACAATAAAGGGGAATATCAATAAGTATCAGTAACGTCAAATGTTCACATACTTCCAAGCTTCTATGTGCAAATGTTAACATAAAAACGTTAAAATGTTACGTTACTGATACTTATTCATACTTATTAATATTTCCCTTTATTGATTACTATCAATAAAATGTAGAAGTATACATGCTAAACAAACTACAAAGGGCCCCAAACAAAGCTTTAAAAGCACTTTATAAATTATAAGATAGACTATTACCGTCAAACGGGGCGAATCAGGACTAAGGGGTCATTCGGGACAAATCGACGCCACCTTAGAAGTTACACGATTTTGCACATTTGGCGAATGTTTTCAAGACGAAAAATGGATGTTTCTTAAAGTAGACACAGAAGATGCCCATTCTTGAAGGATGTAGGCATTAGTGCTCTTATAAACACCGGACATGGTGTTACGGTGGGCGCGACAAAAAAAATACGTAATTTTAATACAGCGCGAAACTCTTATTGGTACTGGTACTTAAAATGATTTTTGAGCTCCGTCAATTTATTTAGAGTATCTCAAACATTTTAGTCACCTGTTGCGCCTAAGCAAAAGTTTGTAAGTTTTATAGTTTTTTTAATCATTTTTTTTTTATTATTCTTGTCACTTTATGGCGTCAATTGGGACAATGGTCCGCACCTATAGAAGAACCCCTGTGGGGCAAAATTTATCAAAATTATGACACGCGAACATTACAAATAGCGTTGGGTCAGATCCGATCCTGCCAATTAAAATATAAAGGGCTTTATTTTAGAAGGAGCTAAACAAATAGGCTTTTCTAATATGACGTCATCAATAAAAAAATTTGAAAACCGTTTTTTTATATTTTTTGTCCCTATTGACCCCTTACGCGGGGTTAATCGAACATTTTCGAGCAAATAAGCCTCTGTCCTGATTAAAATGCGGGGTCAATCGGGACACCTCTAAAAATATTTTTTTTGCGTTTACGATAAAAGCTAAAAACTCGCACGAAGCATTGTTTAAAAGTAGAAACAGAGGAGGTCACTTTCCTCAAAAAATTGTTGATTTATCTCATTTAAATAAAAAGATATTCAGAAAAATAACTAAAAATCGTCCCGATTCGCCCCGTTTGACGGTATATACAGTTGTATTCAATAAAAAAGCGTACAAGAATTAGAATGAGAGAAAACTGTCAAAATAATATTATTGCTTAAAACCGGCTTATCACTGACATAAGTCATTAAAATAATTACTATAGGTTATAAAGAGCATTGGCGTCGTAGGTTAATTAAATAATATTACCAAAATTATTAATTTTTAATATAGATTTTTTATTTCTATTATACCACGGTACGAATTGACCATTCTTCTTAGATTCTTGATACTATTTGAGCCTTTTAAACTGACGAGGCATTTTTATTTTCTACTGTCAGTTATAGTGACTTAAGTCAGTGGAAAGCCGGTTTTACGCAATAATGTTGACAGTTTTCTCTCATTCTAATTCTTGTACGCTTTTTTAATGAATACAACTGTACCAATGCAAAAAATTTATTTAGACTAAGCTACTATATACTGAAAGCTTATGCCATTTGGAACAACTGAAACTTGCTTTTAATGTTAAAACATTGGGATCCAAAATAAATTTAACTCAGTTTTATTTTTGTAATTTACTTATTAAAACTATAGATCTTAATTTGGATAATTTTGTTGTTAAAGTATTATATTGTGTATTTGTTTTTCTAATGATAGTAAAATGTAAATTTTATTAAAATTTCATTAATTAGACCAAAAAATAAACATTTATCAGACTAATAATTTGGACCCCCCACCCCCTTGGTGAGATGTGGTAGACCCCCCTATCCCTCACGTGAGATTCTAGCCATGAAACTTTCTTTTCGGCCAACATGATAAACCCCAAAATTGAATTATATTACATATTCTTAAAACTCAAAAGTTGACGTCAGATTTTCAAAGAAAAAAATAAGATTTTGGTGAGATTATGCAAGACCCATTCCCCCATTTTTCTCACGTAATTAATGGATGTCCCCTAATACACAATAGGACACAAATAAATAACCATACCCATGTGGGACTCGAACCCACGACCTTTCGGCTTGTGGTCAGCGACACTGGCCACTAGTTCACAGTCGGCGGTGGACCACTTGACGTGGGACGATAGGGGTAATTTATATCGCTGTCCTTGTCTGGATCAGCCAAGCACAATCATTGTCTGTCTCAGTAATGGGCGTAACGCATTCTTTTGATACGTTTTGTCTCGCTTGCCATACAATATGTTTTCCGGAAACTCTGTATATAGAGGGCGTTTAATAATTTTTGTGGTCGAAGGCGTTAAACAGCAGTTCTGACTAATAAACCGGTGTTCGAAAATGTGCCGTTTTGGCGTGAGGGTAGTAATCTGGTGTTTTGTTGTATGCGTAAGTGCTTGCAAACAATTCAATTGTATATACTATGCTGTGTATTGAACAAAATAAACAACACTTTGAACCGTTTTCGTAAGCCGCATGAATAGAACGTAACTACTATCATTTTTTGTATTCGCTGTCGTGTCAAAACGGCACCATCCAAACAAGGGTTTATTATAAAAACCACGGTTTTATATACAGGGTCACGCCACTGTTTGTTACGAATTTGGTAATATAATTAGATTAAAAATACAATAAAATTAAAAATACAAATTTATGCTCTATTTTGCTTAATTTTTAAGTATCAAAATTAATATCAAAAGTATTTTTAATTACTTAATTTAAAAATAATATTAAACTCACAAAGGATTGTGATTAAACTTTAAAAAAGCAGTAGCGTACGCAAATTTTATTTTAAAATATCTAGTTAGGATGCTCAAGCGCTGCCTCTGGATTAACTAAATTACATTTAATTTCATTAAATTAAGCACTTACATTTTTGAAAAGATCAATATTTTTTTAATAACTTTACCACCCTGTATCTCAAAAACAAAGCTTTAAAACACTATTTTTTATAAACTTTTTCTATTTCTATACCATAATAAGCACAGTACAATACGCATTTGCTTTTCGTATTGTATATAATTTAAAAATCAAGTTTATAAATTTTGACAAATAAAATAATTGCATAAAAAACTCATGTCATGAAATTTTTTGACGTCTTATAACATAAGTTCATTCATTTTCTTCTATCAACTAATAAATTATCTCAATTAAAATATGAGACACCCTGTATAAGGTGCTTGAGTGCTAAACAATTATTTTTAAATCATAACTTTAAAAATTCGCATTGCTTTAAAAACAAAAATGTTAAAACCGACTTTTTTCTTTAGGTTGCATTATTAATCCACAATCTCGATGAGTTCCAAGCGGCCGATTTCTGTACGGCTCTTTTCGACGAATTTTTCTTTGCCGGCCTGACCAGAGATAACGTGATCAAACATCTACAAAAGTTGCTGTGGTATGTTCACACTAAACTGCCAGTAAGCAGATTGCAAACGTTGATGAAAGCCCTGCAACCGACGCATCAGCACAGCGAAAAGGTGCACAACGTCTACAAATTGCTGCAAGATAAAATAACTTCGCAGGAAGAAAGTGTGATACCCATTGAAATGGATGTTGATGTTAACTCGCCATTGATAAGCGTTCCCACGCCTGCGCCATATAATCATACTTTTTAGTTTAACAAATATTTATTTTAAGAGCAAAAATAAAAGGTTTTTAAATAAATATTTTTTTATTTATTATATTACCACAATATTTTACATTATAACTATATTTTATTCACAGTATCTTAAAACAGGGTAAAAAACAACTTTTTTTATATGCAAATAGAAAAAAAGTATTGGATATTCATTTAGTTGAAAATTAGTAACATAAGGTTTAAATTATAAATAATTTGGACATAAAATAAAATTGATGGCTATTGCTGTTGATGCATTGGTGTAGCCAATTTTTTTTCTGCCACATAATGAAAGAATCTACCAAAAAGTTTCCTTTGTTTTACACCGCTCTTTTAACGCATTTAATTACATGATACTACTTATTACAAACATCAAATAAAAAATATCCAATAGTTTTTTCCTATTAACTTGGCAAAAAGGAAAGATTTTGTACCCACCCTGTATCAATTATGATAAAATTAACCAACAAAAGCATCTTTTATTAAAGGGACAACCTGTTTTCTAGACAAAGTAATATTTTCTTGTCTTAAAAGGACAACATTTTTTAAAGTTGTAGAGGTTTCACTAAAACCAAAATTATATCCCTTTAGGTCCTGTGCTTGTTTCAAGTTATATAAAATTTTCTCTTTCACTTTACAACTATCTTTCCAATAAATTCCAACATCCCTCCTAACAGTTCCAAGAGCATTTAACCCAATCAAAACCACAATTTTATGTTTATATTCATCACAAAATTTAACTATTTCCTCATAAGTTCCATTTTGGTTAAAAAAATCTTCCACCAACATTGGCAAGCCAGGCACAGGAATGTCATTGACCACTTTTAAGTCCCTTAAAAGTATTTGCCTTGGAGATAAATGTGATACATCCATATGTACTTTTTTAAGCTCTTTAAAAAAATCGTCTCTATCTAAACTAAACTTAAATGAATTTTCCAACATCTCTGCTATTTTAATATCCAATTCTTTAGTTCGACCAAATTCTACCTTAAGAGCAACTGTATCAAATATGATTGTAGCTACAAAAAACAAATTAAAGAAAAATATATCTATTTATATAGTTTTTCAATTAACAGTTTTACCATATAGTAAATAGGCTAATTCATAGCACAAACCCTCTTTTTTAGTTTTTAAAAATAAATCTGAAATAAGTGTAGCACAAGATCCTACTTGCTCAATATTAATGGAAACCTTTTGAGTGTCCCAATCCATTTCAGAATCTTTAGGACGATGGTCATAAATAAGTTTTACAGTATTTTTTAGAACCTTATCATTTAAAGATAACATATGATGATCCACCAAAATTGTATAAAATGATTTTGTATTTATTAATTCTTCAAAATTTATCTCATCTCTAAAACACATTAATGTTAATTAAATGTTTTATTATTTAATAATGATTCTTTCTTATCATACCTAAAGACAATATTATTTAAATCAATATTAAATTTTTTGAGCAAAAAATTATTTTCAGTTTTATCCTTAAAACTTTCTTTTGAAATGTTTATTACAGGTAAAGTTAGGGCATTTTGTGGCATATTACAATATTTTACTAAATGTATAAAAAAGGATAAAACCAATGAAGATACTGTGGAATCCAAATCACATGATTCATTCCCTATTATTAAAATTATATCATTATACCTTCCTTCAGACTAAAATTGAATTAAAACTAATTACCTAAGTTAAACAAAAATTAAACTTACAAAACAATTCTTAGAACTTTCTAAGAATTTATGAAAATGGTCCATGTTTAAATATTTTACACAAAAAATATTAAACAGCTGTAAAAATGTCCAAAATCGTAGTTTTAATTATTGATATTTACTAAATTATTTAGGAATATTTTTAGGTTATGCAATTTATTTAAACTACCAAAGATTGTGTTTGGATTCCAAACTTTGGAACTACCTGATTTGTTATTTTACAAACTACTTTATTATGAAAGTGTTTACATATTTTTGTATGTTTGAAGGGGTATGAAAGACGCAAAAGGGTACAAGTGCAAAAAAGTGGTTATTAACTTTTTTGTTGTGTACAAAAATTTGGATACTTGTTTCAAAATTGTTGTTTGCAATCAACTTTCAAAAGCAATCAACATGCACAACTCGTACAATTTTGAAGTTACATATAAAAATTAAAAAAAAATTGGACTCAAAGTTTAGAGTCTAATTAGTTTAAACTACCCAATTCTGCATTTAACTTATTTTCATGCTATTGTACCCTTTTGCTTCTTACCCCTTTATAGATTATTTATTTACTTCTACATTTAATACGCTATAGTACCTATACCCAGATAACATTCGTGATTTTTTAGATTTTGTTATTTATCGCATGATTTCACAGTACTAAATGCACGATCGTGCATGCCCTCGCGAGGGCATTAATTTGGGAAAAATTGAGGTTAAACCCATCTGACAGATGTCACATTAATGTTGGTAATATTGGTAAAAAGTATGGTTAAAACTGCTTGACAGTTGTCAGATAAAAGGTCAAATAAAATTGTAGATAAAGTAATTTATTAAAAACTCGCTCCGCTCTCGCGTAATTAAACTCGTGTAATAAATGACGTTTATAAAACTTTAACTTTACATAATAGGTACACTAATATTATTATGACATATACCCATTTAGGTATGCACAATTAAAATTTTTGCTTTGCTATAACATATTACCTATATTTATGATTTTTAAAATCACATTTGAATTTAATGGAAATTTTAGCGCATGCGTATTAATATTTATCCTCCATTATCGTCCATACATTTCTACAAACGTGCATATTTTCATTAAATAATCCATTATATTCCATTTAGTGCATATAGCAATATCTTTCACTTTTTTATTAAAAATGTATAATCTTTACATTATAGTGGTTTATTTTAGCTTGGTATTTTTTTAAATAATTAAACTAATTTGTTGGAAAAGGTAATAGCAAAAATGGCAGAAGATCCCATAAGATACGGGGAATTATGCAGATTATGTGCAACAAAAACCTCTCTGGTGATGGCAATAAACATTTTTGAGAATGAAGGCGAAATACGACAAATTAGCAAAAAAATAGAAAGTTGTTTACAAGTTCAGGTATGTTTTTAGGTTATATTTTGATAGATATATAATCATATCGATGACTTTCTGCCAAAGTATCGCAAGCAACATAACTCAAATTTCGGGAATTAAAAACATTTTTGTTTTAAAGTCTGTTTTAAACCAAATATAACCTACAGGTTTTATAACAAGTAAATAGCTATAATTATAAGCTAAGTAATTACTTATTATAAAACCTTTGGGCTATATTTAATTTAAAACAGACAAGCAAAATGTTTTCAGTTTCCGAAATTTGGTTTATGTTACTTGCGATACTTTGGCAAAAAGTCATCGATATATTAAATCACAAGAACTATGAATTTAAGCGGTTAAACTAGGCTCAGTAGTTTTTTTTTGGTTTTTGTTGGAAAATGTTGAATGCAAAATAATTTAATAAAATCACGAGACTGCGTAGCGGTCGAGGGGTTTTATTTTTAATTATTTTGCATGAAACTATTTTCCAAAAAGAAAAATCAAATAAAAAACTTACTGAGCATAGTTTGACAGATTAAATTTATAGGTTGAGTGATATATGTCTAAATTATTTCTCGAATTAAAGGAAACTATTTGACAATTCATAAAATCTGACGTACCTATGTGTCAAAATTTATAAATATTTTTTTTAAGAAAATTCCATTAATTTAAGGTATGTAATAAGTAATAATTGATATTTCGTAAACTAGATAACTTATTTTTTATTGTTTTTTAAAAAATGTTTGTTAAAACTTGTAAATAACACCATAAAATCGTAAACAAAAATCCAATATGGAGGCGTCCGTTACAATTAAAAATTGTGAGTAAAGCTTAATTTTCATGTATCCGTTTGTCCGTCAGTCCGTTCATCCGGGAGCGCTCTTATTGGTCCAATTATAATTCGAAAATTATGACATTTTATCGGTCCGTCAAGTTTCAACTTCGTACGTCTGACAGAGAAAGGTTAAATAATTTTAACTCATCCGTCACTACACATCTGTTTTTGACGCCTAACGTTATTTTAAGATAATTTATTTTCAAATATTTTTATATTTTTTCAATAAGATTGTAAAACGGAAATATTACGTTCGTTATGTGAAAAATGTTTTACTGTTAAGTTTTTATTTAATCAGAATAACAGAAAAAAAGAAAGGACAAACAAAAAAAATTAAAACTAGAACTAAAAGGACCTGCTTTTTTAAAACTATACATTTTTATGTATATTAGGGCTAGTATAATATTATTCTTTTTATAAGGTATATTTACCTACCTTTAAATTTAAATTTTAATTTAAATTTAGACAGCTAACTGTTAAAGTTGACATAATTGTAACTATGACAATTAAGCATTAGGTACTATCGCTAACAAAAAAAACTCATACAGCTTAAAAATCTAGTGTTCCTGATTTTCTATCATTTCGTTGGAGTAATTATGGCTTTTATCATGATACGTCGCATTTGAAAGGTCTAAAATTAAATAAAAGTTAGGTTGAAGTTTGAAAAAAAAAATAATAATTCGTAATCCCTTTGTCAATTGCTGCCCGCAAACGGCAAAGCATGGAAGTCGCCGTCTTGCTTTATCTCGTTCCAAATGGCTTCAATGGCTTGCCAGAGTTCGTCTGCATTGTTTGCTTGAAAATGTTAAAAAAGTCATAATGGATGTGACAAAGCTCGATGTCAGCTTGACATTGACGGAAAAGTTTTATTCACACAGCCACAATATAGCTGTATGAGTTTTTTTTGTTAGCGATAGTAAATTTAGTAAGTGAATATACTGACATTTAATTTCTATTTGTCGCAAAATCAATCCGTTAAACTTCATTAAAAAACGTATGCATGAAAATTAGAACATTTCTTATCGGACGATTTTATTGAAAAACTGACATACGGATGACGGACAAACGGATACATGAAAATTAAGCTTAAAAGCTACCGTAATTAAATTAAATACTATTACAATAGTTACTATTGCAAACATGTTTATTATGCTTGTAATAATTAGGCTTAAGCTTATAAACATCATAATAACGGTAGTTTTACTCACAATTTTTGATTGTAACGGACGCTACAAAAATTCGCCAGTAACGTGGAATGGCTGTAAAATAAATTAATTAAAAACTATCAAGTTGATAGTTTTTAATTAATTTATTTTACAGCCATTCCACGTTACTGGCGAATTTTTGTAGCGTCCGTTACAATCAAAAATTGTGAGATAGTATCAACTCTAAAAAACAAACAAAAAAATGCCTCACAAAAAATAGGATCATCCAAAATCGTATAAAAAAATAATTAAAAACTAAAATAAATTCTAATATTGCAAAATCCAAACAAACAAAAAATATATCAGATACTCAGAAGTTGTCAAACTTTTTTTATTTAAAGTGACTAGAAGTACACCGGGAGTACCGCCATTAAACGTACACCGGGTGGAAAAAAATCCTTATTTAGAATATTTGTCAATTGTATAATATTAAATGGTCGCTCAATTTCGCGCAATGGGGCGGGGGGGGGGGGCAATGGGGTGGGGTCGGTTGGGTTGGTTTGTTGAGTTTGGGTTGGTTTGGGTAATTCATACTGACATTTCATTAATTTTGTTGTTAATTTAATTTTTTCTGACCTATACTTTTTATGGTTTTATTCAAGGCGTTTTGTAATATTAAAAATTTCTGTGAAATCAGAATTTCAATTGAGTTTACCGTTTTCGAGATATTTACAAAAAATATAAATTTTTATGACGTCACAAACCTCGCCATGTGACCAACATTCTAAGATTTCTATTGGTTGAAAATTACCCTGTTGTCAAGTTGTCTTGTTAATGATTTCATTTGGTTAGGTCAGAAAATACCCGAAGAGGTTATGTACAAATACTGTCACTGTCAGTTGAGTGAAAGATGGTCACCAAATTCATTAAGTACCTATCTTCCTTATTACGAGGTATCATATTACTATTTGATATTTTAGAGTCCAAGATATATTTAAAAGAATATAAAGAACTAGGCATTATACTAATGAAATGCATTTACGACAAAATATGATTATATGATTATAGGTACTTACTTTATTTGTTTAAAAGCTCCAATGTTCAATGTAACCAACCATTTCACAAGATTCCTCTGCTTTGGAGTCCGTTATTAATAAATCACTTATCTAATATCAATTACAAATAACATAACAATATCATTGATTTTCAATAATCTAAATTTAAAAAAAAAACATAACCCGAAAAAAGGAAACGTCAAAAAATCAATTCTTCTTCTTCTTCTCAACTAAAATTATAGATCAAGCGGTTTTAAAACTAAAATATTATAACGTGGCGCCATCTATCGTAAGAGTCTTAAACTAAACACACTGGCAACCATAGAAAAAGCTGGGAACGTTGTCAATAGCCTAGTGACGTAATTAGGAGATTTTTTTTTGTAAATATCTCGAAAACGGTAAACTCAATTGAAATTCCGATTTCACAGAAATGTTTAAAATTACAAAACGCCTTGAATAAAACCATAAAAAGTATAGGTCAGAAAAAATGTAACTACCCCATTGTATTTCAATCACTTCATTAAATTTTAATCAATGTTTATACAACTTGAAAGTTAGCTTAATAATTACATAATTAATATCAAGAGTTAACCAGCTGTTTACCAACTGTTATACAACTGGGCCTTAGTGTACCAATTCAATCTTAACTAATAAATCCGAAATTTTACCATCAGCTGGTATGGAAACACGCATGCGCACAAACCTGATGTACGTTTAATGCCCGTACTCCCGGTGTACTTCTAGTCACGGCGTTTTTTATTTCATAAATTTGTTTTTTCTTTGTTAAACAGTGTTCGGTTGGGTTGGGTTGGTTGGTTAGTTTTAGTTTTATCGTAACATAAAATCTACTAGAAGTTGTAGAACTTTTTTTATTTTTTTATTTCATAAATTTCTTGTTCCTTAGTTAAAAAGTATTGGGTTGGGTTTGTTGGGTTGGTTGGTTTGGTTTGTTTTAGTTTTATCATAACATAAAATCTTAAAATTACGACCCTAGACCTAGGATTACGACGTTAAATAATTATGACGTAACTAACGTGCCTTTAACATTTCGAATCGCGGCACGTTTACTGTGGCTCTAGTCACAGCGTTTTAGTAAATCACATTTTCTAGGTTAATTTTGTTGTATTTGTAACCAAGTAAATAATAAATTATGGAAACAGACCTGTAATTAGCTTTTTTCTACTCCTATTACGGAATATGACCGTTCTAATATCACTTTGTAATGTGAAATTACACATACTATCGCTAACAAAAAAAACTCATACAGCTTAAAAATCTAGTGTTCCTGATTTTCTATCATTTCGTTGGAGTAATTATGGCTTTTAACATAATACGTCACATTTGAAAGGTCTAAAATTAAATACAAAGTTAGGTTGAAGTTTGAAAAAAAAAATAATATTTCGTCATCCCTCTGTTTTGTCAATTACTGCCCGCAAACGGCATGGAAGTCGCCGTCTTGCTTTATCTCGTTCCAAATGGCTTCAATGGCATGCCAGAGTTCGTGTCCATTGTTTGGTTGAAAATGTTGTTAAAAAAGTCATAATGGATGTGACAAAGCTCGATGTCAGCTTGACATTGACGGAAAAGTTTTATTCACACAGCCACAATATAGCTGTATGAGTTTTTTTTGTTAGCTATAGTATGTATGTATTATAAAGTATTATAGAATGAATTATTACACATATGTATTATAAAGTATTATAGAATGAATTATTCTATCATCGGATGACGGAATAAACAATGGTGGCGACATCTCTGTGTTTAATATCTAACAAATTTTAAAGCGATGCAACCTCACTTTTTTATTTTTATAAAATTTACACTTTAGCGACTTTTCCGAAAAACGGAATGGGGGTTGCCAAAATGCAAAAAATAGGTGTGGAGGGATGTAAAAGTGCATAAACAATCGGCGCAGGGTGAAAAAGTTGTATGATTATCACGTAATTAATAAAAAAAGGGGCTAATAATTGTAGTGACTTACCGTGATTTTCTGTGAAAAAGAGCATGTAGCGAGCGGGGTCGGTTGGGTTGGGTTGGTTTCGCTTACTTTTACCCATTTTAGTTGATTGAAAGTAGATCAGCTGATAAAACAAAGCGCATGTGCGGGATCGAAAGCCTTTGTGAAGCATGGTCTGTAGAGTCTACAGTGTAGACTCTAGTTGTGTCATAGGTACTGCTTTACGGTAAGTCACTTCAATTATCAGCTCTTTTTTATTAATTACGCGATAATTATACAACTTTTTCACCCTGCGCCGATTGTTTATGCACTTTTACATCACTACACACCTATTTTTTGCATTTTGGCAACTTTCCTGCCGTTTTTCGGAAAGTAAAAATTTACATTATTTTTCTATGGTATTTTTTAGAAACGTAAAAAAAGTATAGTCTGAAACACATTTGGAATTGCATATTTCGCTCTCGTGAAACAGTCAAATTCGCCTAGCTTTGGCTAGTGTGACAAACTTTTCACTCGAGCGGATAATGCCGTATTCCAAACTTGTTACAGAATATACTATTCTACAAGCCTGTTAATTTTACACCTCTTTTATACATGCCCGTAAAATATTACAGCTCTGTTTCCATAATTTATCGTTTACTTGGTTACAAAAACAACAAAATTAACATAATATGTTATATATTATAAAAGGTCAGTTACTAAGATGGTGGAAATAAAAAAGATTGTTGTTCATCTTTCTAAAGGTTATTAACAAATTCAAGGCACGTCATATTAAAATTGAATTTTGTACAATGTTCTGCCTTACCTATCTGCATTTTATTTTTTCGGTCTATCCCGGACGCATTTTTCCGTCTCCTATAGGGCTAGCGCAACCGAGTGCGCTAATCGTGTAGGATACGGAAGCGAGACCTGCATCTCCGTTCCCTAAGTGGTTAACGCACCGCATACGAATAAGCACTCTGCAATGAGCTTTCTAGGTGATCTTTCTTTGTTTGTACATATAAAATAATAATAATAATAACCAAACAAACAGATTGACGTATGTCTTAAAGGCGCGAATCATTGTATGCACGTTATAGCGCGATAATACACTAGAGGCTAAATGTAGCAAAGTTTTCCTCAAGTTTATGACGAATAGCTGTCATCTTGGTTATGCAGGTACACTGTATTGTGTCATACCAAACCAACCCAAACTTAACAACCCAACCCAACCGACCCCGCCCCATTGGTATGGCACAATGCAGTGTACCTGCATAACCAAAATGACAGCTAATCGTCATAACCTTGAGGAATACTTTGCTAAATTTAGCCTCTAGTGATAATACCTAATTACAGGCGGTGCGTTAACCACTTAGGGAACGGAGATACAGGTCTCGCTTCCGTATCCTACACGATTAGCGCACTCGGTTGCGCTAGCCCTATAGGAGACGGAAAAAAATCCCGGACATCTGCAGGACATCTATTTATCTCCGTATATATTTTAATAAAGAACCTTGTTTATAAAAAACTTTTATCTGAAGCCAGCATAACCCTTTAAATTTAAAAAAAGAGCACAATATATTTTTTATCTTCCGAAATTACCTCATTTTAGCTCATAAATATTGCATAGGTCCGAACAGACGGTTCTCAAATCACTTTCTCCCAATTTAAAACCCGATTGATCCAAATAATAAAATCGGCCAATCAATGACGCCTAAAAACGGAAATAATAAATTAATTATTCACGGGCGTTTAATAATGTTTACCATAACCAGAAAAAAACTTTAATTAGATTATTCAATTATTTTATGCTGTAATGTAGTGGTTTTGGTTTTGGAAATCAAGTTAAGTCATGATTTGTTGTCAAAGCCATAAAAATGTATATGTGAATATTTATGGCTAATATAAATTTAACTATACCTATAATTCGGCTGTACAATTTAATTTATTAGAGTTATTTTTTTTTTACTTTTGATGCATTTTTTTTTTAATTTAAAAATTAAGGGAATAAAATTTTTCATTTAAACATTAGGTATTTACTAAATACTAAATTTACAATTTTTTTAGATCCATCAAGCTGATGAGCTACCAAAGATGATTTGTGAGAATTGTCTGTATAAATTAGAATTATTATCAGAATTTAGAGAAAGGTCTACTAGAACTGAAAGAATATTACTAGAACTATATAAAGAGATTAACTCAAGTAGACTGCATGAACAACCTCCAATTTTAGTTGATCAAAGTGAATTGTTAATGGTGCAACCACATCACCTTTTAAATGAACATAATTTAGAAAATATTGATCTTAGAGATGATATGATGGTGGAACATGAAATAATATTGACCCATCATAATGTGGATATTAACACACATTCTTTAGATAGTTTAGACTTAAATAGTCATAGTTTAACAAATCAAGAGTTGTCAAACCAGAGTTTACAAACCCAAGAGTCTATAATTATTGATGCTGGAAATAGTCAAAGTTTACAAGATAGTCATTTTGAAGATGAAAATTTAAGTTTAATTCACCAACATCATTTATTAAGTGATCAATTAAGATTACATCATGGATTATCTGTTAACATTAATGATGAAAGCAGTATAAATGAATTAAGCAACCAAAATGTAAGTTTTGAATATTTTTGAAGTACAAATTTTTAATGTTTCAATTTCAGTTAAAATCTGAAGCTCATCATAATACATCATACCTTCAAGGTCATTCAAACAAAAACCCTGAAATTTATGAAGAAACCATAAATGACCTTTCTTTACATAATTATAATGAAACAATGCCCAGTGATATGAAAACAGAAGATAGTGATAGTGCAAGTTCTCTAGTGACTCAAAATAAACAAATTTACATTCAACCAATTAAAAATGATTTTGAAGTATTGGACAGTAGTGAAAAACAAGACTGGTATTTTTGCAATATGTGTAGCAAGAGTTATAAGGACAACACAGAGTTTGAAAAACATTATGAAAGTCATTTTAAAAAGTGTTCAAAGTGTTATGCAGTATTTTCTGATTTGCAACAGTTAAATGAACATCTTAAAACACATAGTGCAGAATTATATTTAGAGAAGGTAAACAAAGAATTAAGAATATATGTTATGAATGTGTCCCAATAATATTATGAAGTAAAAAATACTAAAAATAATAAATTAGTGCAAACTCTAGGTGAGGCCTATAGGCTTTTAGCATATATGCTAATATAAATTTTTGAATTTAAATCAATTTTCATCAGCTTTTGGACACAATAGTGTAATGTAATGTAATTTAGTTATGTCCTAGTAATGTTACTGGAGGGCTTGCTCTACTTTTTACCTCAGTCTTTAACGCCACATAAAAGTTTTAAAATAATAAATATTTATTATTTTAGTGGCGTTAAAGACAGGTGAAAAGGGGAGCAAGCCCCCCAGTAACTGAGCCAAACTCGGAGCCAAAAATATTTTTTAAATACCTTGAGTATCCTGTTCCATTTAAAGAAAAAAACTTCTTTTGTAAAAATTTTATTTACTGCTTTATTTCTAAAATATTTATATTTAAAGGTTTGGAAGCACCATCCAAATTAATAAGGCAAATTTTTAAATCTAAGTAGTCTTGGACTTGTGACAAAATGTTACAAGTTAACTTCAAATAGCTGCTAGGTGCCTTGTTTATTTTGTTGACATAACAACCCTTCTTAAACTTTTTTTGACAGCCTTTATCTCTGTTAGAAAACATTTTTGAGCAACGTTTTTTAATAAAAGTTTGCCTTATTTTTTATGCTCTATCGCCACTTAATAATTAATGTCGTTTAAACCGGATCAGGGTGATGGTCTTCACTGAAACCTAACCAGAGACTGATATCTTTCCTAATTATACTTCGAACGCTGTAAGTTTGATACCGCATCAGCCATGCGTTGCCCACCGTTGTCGAGCGATGACGTTGCTGTATCAAACTTAACCATTGTTTTGACAATAACTTTTATATAAACTATTCATCGGATAAACTAATTGGAACTCACCAGAGATTATTTATGTTTATATAAGGCTGAGAAGTGAGTCTTTTTATGCTACGCTCAAAGTTTGAACGCCGACGCGTAGCGGAAGCCTACAATTGACGAAGGACAAAAAGACACTTTTCAGCCGCATGGCATACAACATTTTGTTTTGCAATTATAATTAGTATTAAACGTAGAAAGTGAGGTTAAATTGGATCTGACAGTAGTCAAATTTTTGTATTTGTCCAAACGGGTTTTTTACAAACTGGGAGGAAAAAACTTGGTTGTCTATGGTCTAAATTATTTTTACAGCCTATGAGTTTTTTGGTTAAAGATAACTATAGTTATTTATGTTATAAGGATAAGAAGTGTGCTGAGCTCAAAGGTATAATGCCGACGCGTAGCGGAGGACTACAATAGAGCGACGCACAAAAAGAGAGTTCACAGCCGCATGGCATACAACATTTTATCTTTAATACATATGTTTATTTATTAAACAATACATAAAACGTCTTCTTCTTCTTCTTTGGCCTTGGTCTAGACAAACCATAAACTATATCTGGATATATAGCTCGTAATTCGTGGTAGTACAATGTTTGTCAACGTGCTAATAGTAGGGATATATTAGGTATGGAGTTAGTTAATTATATCTATTGCTATGCAAAGCGAAGCCCAGTGGGTTTTATAGCGTAATGTTGCTCGAATCTAAGAAGTCTGCTACTGCTACTATAATTTCGTGTGTAGGGTTATTTAGCATACTTACATTACATTCCGTGTAATAGGGTTCCCAGCCTCACCATTTATTTTGAAAATAGTGTGAGGTCTATCTGTTTATAGTGGTCGAAGTCGAAATTTGCGTTAAAGCAGGGGAGAAGAAGAGAAGATTTTATCCAATGCATACATACATTCCACATACGACGCGGCGACTATACAAAGAAAACAGCTAATGGTTGGTTCACAAATTGATAACGCAACGGAAAACATATAGTCGAATGTTGCTCCAAGGTATTGTTTGTCCGTTTATGTATATATTGACTGACGTTTTTCTAAAGAGTATGACGAAACTTTTATGGAATGATATTTCCATGCCATGGTCTAGTAGTAGGTGTTGATATGTTTGAGGGTGTAGTAAATATAGTCTACTAAGATGTTGTCATTTGGGCCATAGCATAAGACGGCCAAGTTATCAGTATATTGGATTATTTTGCACTGCATGAAAGCGTTGTTATGAAGAGGGTTAGTGAAGAGCAGAGAGCTAAGGATTGAACCTTTAGAGAGTCTGAGGGAGGCTCTGTTGGGACCGAGTTTAGTCTTTAGCATTGGGGTGAAATATGTGTATTTATCTGTTTCCGAAAAGGGTTAATATTATATTTTTATATTATATTCTTCGGGACATTATATTGGCCGAGAAGGGGGTATAGGATATATCCTATAGGGAGGGCAACATTGTTGAATGCTCCAGCAATATCTAAGGTTGCTAGAATTGTGTGGGTCCCTTTTTGGAGCTGTGTAAGGAATGTTGTTGATAGGTAGGCAAGTGGGTACAATATACTTTCCCTTTTCTAAAACCAAATTTAAAAGGGTATATGGTTAACTATTAATTATCTCTATTTAATCGGGTAGTGGTCTCTAGATCCTGGGCCGTGTATTGTTTGGAATTTAGAAGACCGTAAGATTGATGAAGTAGCAAGAATGACATCTGGGGCGCTTAGGGTAGGAAGAGACGTTAAACTTGTTGGGAAGCCGTCGTTTAGGACTACTAGATTGGGATGAAGGATTTCTTCATTTGTATTTTTTTTAGCCCCACAGAGAATTATGGGCAATACAATTTTCTAGGATCTTGAATGATTTGGAGAATCCTTTCGTTTAGGGGAGCTGTAGATTGATAAAACAGCGAGTATCGATTTTTATTACTAGAGTTTGGGATCTTTCGTTTTGGTGGAGAAGGGATATTTACCGGGTCAGCGTTATTGTGTAGTTTTGTTAGTATTGCTATACCTCCCTTACCATCCTGTAGATCCTGGCGGAGGCAGGTGAATCCTGATATTTTTAAGTTATTTCCTCTTTTATTGAGGGCTTTTATGTCCGGATATTCCTTTCTTATTATTCCTACTAGTTTTGCTTTATTTCTTATAGCAGATCTTATATTCCAGTGGATAAATTTAAAGTTCTTATTTGTTTACATATTTTTTTATGGTTAAGCTGATTTGAAAAGAAAGTTGGTAGGAGTTTGATGTATATGGGTATGGGTAGCCATGTTGGTGATGGTTATTTTGTCGGGTATGAAAGCTTGCAATAGTTTTTTGTCTAATTAGATTTCAGCGTTTGGGCATTTGAAAAAATTTGAGAGTTTATGTTGCAGAAAGCCCTGGGAATAGCAATATTTATTGGGAATTATGGGCGGCCCTGTCATACCCTGGTCTGTGCTGTTGTATTTATCTTGTTCTTTTTGATTGTTGAACTACTTCAGTAAAGGATGTTAATGGCATTTGCGGTATGGCGAGCTTTAGATTTTGGAAGGTTTTCTGTCGTCTGGGCAAAAGGGGGAATTTTGTATTGAAGTTGAGTTCTTGAAAAGGGGCAGGTTTTTTAGTAGGAAAGATTTTTTGTGCCTCAAAGAATTCTTAATTAATGATACCTGGTTTCTGGCTATGTTATCGTTACTGTTTTTTTGAAGAATGAATTGCTTGCATGTTTTTGTTGTGGCCATGTGGGCTTTACCTCAGGATGCTCATTTTAGTGGATTTTGGCATTCATATTTTATGTGGTCTTTGCAGATTTCCATATCTTAGGCAAGAGAGACACTGTATGGCAGGAGGAATATAGGTTTCTATTAGCATTGGGTAGCCCTGCTGTTCAAACCGATAGATATTTGTATCGGAATGTATGGTGTTTCTATAGGGTGTATCGGTATGTATAGGACCCATAGTTGGGATTTATGGTTGTTCTATAGGGATATCCACCCTTGATTTATTTGCTATTGGTTTCAATGGGGAAAATACACATAAATGTAGAAATTAGTTTTTCCCCCATAGGACCCCATAGGTTTTAATAAAATGTTGTCTAATGTTTTATGGTTGTTCTATATCCCTATATATCCTTCATTGAGTTATTTGCTATCGGTCTCAATAGGGAAAATGTAAAAGTTATGGTGTGCCTATAGGTAATTTCCTATAAATTTTCTATCGGGCCGTATCCGGAACCATGGACAAATGTACATATTGAATCCGGTAGCGCCCGATAGATTATTTTATATAGGTCTCTATGGGGTTTTTAAGCAGGGAGTGGGTTGTATGTAGATTCTTTGGGACATATTTTGCCTTCGAACGTTTTGATTACCATACCTGTTCGGATGTATATAGATTTGTGTTCTTGATCTTTTACTATTATTCCAGATGTATCCCTTTTTGGGTTTGTTATTCCCTTAAATTGTAAGATTTTTGCTGGGCATTCAGCATCTTTTAGTTTGAGTGTAAAATCTACCTTTAGACTTGTGATTGTCTCTTTTGTTAATAATTTTTGGTATATTTGGTAAACACTTGGGGTTAGGGTTAGGGATGTGTTTTGGGGGGGTTTGAGCTCCCCGGCGTTCTTTGCTCTAAGGGTTTATTAGGATGCACGTGCAAAAATATATTGTTAACCTTAAAAGGTTTTACTAACTTACCCCGGGTTTAAGGTTTAAATTGTTATTTGTTGTTTTAATGCCTCCAGGGACTAGGATTAAATCATCGAGCTCGAATAACTCTCGACTCGCTCTCGATCTACGAAGTATTACTCTCTAGATCAGTGCCGGTTTAACAGGGGTTTTTTGGGGACTATAGCACCGGGCGGTAAATATTTTTGGGGCGGTACCGCGTACCGCCCATAATTTAAAAAAAAAAATACTTAATCGTTAGAATTTAGAAAAAAATATATTGCGAAACTGCGTCGGCGGATAGAACGGATACAAATGAGAAAAATGTTGTTAGAGTTGAAGCAGCTTCTCCATCAGAAAAACTTGATTTATTGGAAACGGAATAATTTTAACTTTTTGGATAGACGTTTTGCAAAGGGTTAATGAAACCAATAAAGCAGTCCAAAAACAAAATATGGATTTAAGC